AGCATACGCTGATTTAAATTTTCCAGTCTGTACTCCTAGAACTGCTTTAGACAGTTGTAAATTGCGTTCTTGAGCTCTCCTACTCTTACGCTTCACCATTGTAAGGTGGTAGTAGGTTGGTGTTAATGGGTTTGATGGGGTGGCCAACCCCACTATGTCGGTAAGGCCATACGGTCGGTAAGGCCATGACTTACGTTAGAGGATGCCCGAATATTTACTATTTTGTATCTCAATATTCACAGGTCCTGTGATGTTGCGTCATCGCAATGAATCATATTGTAAGCAGCACCTTGGCTGATAAATCCATTAGGTCTCCTGCTGCCGACATGTCATTCGTCTCATAGTCGCAGTTGATTCGGCTCACAGTGGGGTCCTGCCAAATCGATCGCCCGGGAGGTGCCGGAGAGTTGCAGCCCACATAACGGGATATCCGCATGCCAATCAATTTGACCGCCTTTGGAGGTCCCTCATTGCCAACTACTGAGGTTCATTAATGGCTTTTGCTCAATTTTCACTGATATATGATCCGGTGTATCTACCTGCATCGCCGCAAAATGTAACTGAGTTACACATTCGATACCGCTTAGTAAAGCCGATCAGCCATTGGCAGAATCAGCGAATGAATTCACGTGCCGTGAACGACCCCGCCATCTTGTCATCCCGCACATGGCTCTATTGCTGTCAGATTATACTGTAGTCGGGATCAGATTATAATCGTTAATCGCGCCTGTTTGTCTCAAGATACGCGAGATCTACATCCGCTGCCATGTGTTCCCAAGAACTGAAAATCGTTGACAAATGAAGCCTTACTAGAGACCTCATTGATGACATTCCTCACTATATAATACTTCCACATGTGGAGGAAGGAGGTCACCTTCCGAGATGCAAAGAGGACGTGTTATGAATAATCCATGACACTAGTCTACAGTTGCTCGTGGCCGGCACAGCCGAATACCACGAGATGTGGATCAAATCCCCAGGCAGTTAATTATATTTGACTCAGCAAGCTTACAGCGACTGATTGGTGAAGTAGCCGCTCTCAACTAAATTAGGCTAAGTGCGTATGGCAATCATACAGGTACGGCTGAACCCAACCTCATCATCATCGTACAACGCGCACTCAGCAAAAGCAGTATGAGCAGTGCAGGCAGCACTACTGTACACTCCCAGCGTCTAGTTCTCAAGGTAGGTCACAGCCTCCTCCAACTGGAGGCTCAGCCAGAAGACTGAAGATATTTAGTACACGATCCATTTATCAGGCTCCTTGCAACAGTAATGGCGGCGATCGGGCTTACTGCAAGCATTATCGCAGTTATTGACTTATCTGCAAAGGTTGCTTCACAGTGCTCTGAGTACTACGCCAAGGTCAAGAATGCTAGAGACGACATTGAACGCCTTCAGGAGGAGATTAGACAATTAAAAGAAATCCTCGGGCAAGCTCAGTCGCTATGTGATGGTGCAAATGGTGCAAAACTCCAGTCATCCCAAAATTTACGCGATGGGGTGAAGGAGTCCAAGAAGCAGCTCGCCCAGCTAGAGACAAAGTTGAAGCCTCGAAAATATGAATTGATGAGTCGGTTCGGGAGGCACGCCTTAGCGTGGCCCTTTAAGAGTCATGAGGTGGAGGACACTATGAAGAAACTAGGGAAATGCAAGGATAGCGTATCTTTCAGTCTCCAATTCGACCAAATGTACGTAATATTATGTATATTCAAACGGAGCGGAGTTGACATTAGTGCCTATAGAGTACAAGTTCTTAGCATCCATCAAGAAATTGTTCTTGACAGACTACAGTCTGCCGACGACGCCGCGTTCGACTCCCACGCCGAAGAGCATAATGCTAGATGCTATAAAGGCACTCGAGTTCAACTTATTCAACAGATAAATACGTGGGCAAGTGACCCTAGCAGTGAATCTATATACTGGCTGAGTGGTATGGCTGGCACTGGCAAGTCGACAATCTCCCGCACTATGGCCCAGAATTTTGCTAAAGATGGAGAGCTCGGCGCTAGCTTCTTCTTTAAGAGAGGTGAAGGCAGCCGTAATCATGCAGGATTGTTCTTTTCGACAATTGCTGCACAGCTTGTCCAGAAACTACCTTCGTTAGCTCCACATATCCGACATGCAATTGAAGCTGACCCAGCTATCTCTAACAAGGCTCTAAAGCAACAGTTTGAGACGCTAGTCATACAACCCTTTAGCAAGATACGTCTTGATCCTCAGAAATCGTTAAGCATAGTGATAGTTGTTGATGCCCTTGACGAGTGCAACCGAGAAGAGGACCTTTGCGTTATAATTCATCTCCTCCAACAAGTGCAGCAGATAACATCGGTACGCCTTAAGTTCTTTTTGACAAGCAGGCCAGAGCTACCAATTCGCCTCGGCTTTGAGGACATAAGTGGCAGATATAAGTGTTTGGTTCTGCATGAGGTCCCCAACCCTATTATCGAGCATGACATCTCTGCCTTCCTTGAATATGAGCTAGCAAGAATTCGGGATGAGTACAACAAATCAGTTATTCTAGACCGCCAACTGCCTACAGATTGGCCAGGACAAGCAAATGTCCAAAGTCTAGTCCAAATGGCTATCCCATTGTTCATTTTTGCTGCAACAATCTGCTTGTTTGTTAAGGATCGTAGATGCGGCGAGCCTGGGGAACAACTTACGAAAGTTTTGAAATATAAGACTAAAAGCCAGGAATCTGCGCTTGACGCAACGTATCTCCCAGTCCTTGACCAGTTGCTTGTTGGGCTTACTAACTCACAAAAAGACGAACTAGTTAAAAATTTTGAGGAAGTCGTTGGCTCGATCGTGATTCTCGCCAGCCCTCTATCTACTGTTTCTCTTGCTCGACTACTTGATATCTCCAATGCAAGAGTCAATCACATTTTAGACCTCCTCCACTCAGTTTTGAGTATCCCTTCTAATCCAGATATACCAGTACGACTACTCCACCTTTCATTCCGTGACTTCCTCCTCGACAGTGAGAAGCGCGAGGAGCATCCATTCTGGATTAATGAACAGAAGTGCCACCAGAGATTGGCGACACAATGCCTTCAAACTTTATCGAAGGGACTAAAAAATGATATTTGCAATCTTCAAGTGCCAGAGAGGCTACAGGCAGATGTTGATAGGCAAACGATAAATGCAAAAATTCCACTAGATATCCAATATGCTTGTCAGTATTGGGTGTACCACCTAAAGGAAGGTAGAAACATCATATCCGACGACGACCAAGTCTACAAATTTCTCCAACGCCACTTCCTCCATTGGCTTGAAGCATTGAGCTTTATTCAGAGGTTACCAGAAGCCATTGGCATGATTAATGACCTAATAGCTATATTAAGGGTATGTTACTTACTAATATCAAGTACGACGTTTTACTAAATAAATATCATTTAGCCAACAGAAAGCATTGAACTGTCTGCACTTCTTTATGACGCAAGGCGGTTTATTCTTAGTCACCTCTCAATAGCTGAGCTGTCACCCCTCCAGCTCTATTCTGCTGCACTTATCTTCTCCCCAAAGGACAGTGTTATTCGAAATATGTTCCAAGGTTATATACCAAATTGGATATCACAGCAGCCAGTAGTAGAACCAGGTTGGAATGCCACGCTTCAGACGCACGAAGGCCATGGCAGCAATGTCAACTCAGTGGCCTTTTCGCACGACTCGAAGCTACTAGCGTCAGCGTCGGGCCAGACGTCGGCGTTAGAGTCTAGGCTCTTAAGCGACAACACTGTCAAGATCTGGAATGCGACCACTGGCACACTGCAGCAGACGCTCGAGGGCCATAGCAACTCAGTCCGCTCAGTGGCCTTCTCGCACAACTCGAAGCTGCTAGCATCAGCGTCGTACGACAAGACTGTTAGAATCTGGGACACAGCTACTGGCACGCTACAGCAGACACTAAAGGGCCATAGTAGCGGAGTTACTACAGTGGTCTTCTCGCACAACTCAAGGCTGCTAGCATCAGCGTCATTTGACAAGATTGTTAGAATATGGGATGCAGCTACTAGCATGCTACACCAGACACTCGAGGGCCATAGCAGCGTGGTTACCTCAGTGGTCTTCTCGCACGACTCGAAGCTGCTAGCATCAGCGTCAGGTGACAATACTATTAGGATCTGGGACGCAGCCACTGGAACGCTGCACCAGGCGCTCAAGGGCCATAGCGCCTCGGTCAACTCAGTGGCCTTCACGCACGACTCGAAGCTGCTAGCATCGGCGTCAGGTGACAAGACTGTTAGGATCTGGGACGCAGCTATTGGCACGTTGCAGCAGACACTTAAGGGCCATAGCAACTCAGTCCGCTCAGTAGCCTTCTCGCACGACTCGAAGCTGCTAGCATCAGCATCATGCGACAACACTGTTATAATCTGGGATGTAGCTATAGGCACATTACAGAAGACGCTTAAGGGCCATAGCCATGTCGTCACCTCAGTAGTCTTCTCGCACAACTCGAAGCTATTAGCGTCAGCATCATGCGACCAGACCATTAGAATCTGGGACATAGCTACTAGCACGCTGCAGCTCGAGGGCCATAGCTGCGTGGTTCACTTACTGATCTTCTCAAACGACTCGGAACTGCTAGCATCAGTGTCAGGCGACAAGACTATCAGGATCTGGGATGCGACTATTGGCACACTGCACCAGACACTCAGGGGCCATAGCGGTTGGGTTAACTCAGTGGCCTTCTCGCATGACTCGAAGCTGCTAGCGTCAGCATCCGACGACACTGTTAGGATCTGGGACTGGATCACAGGCACGCTGCAGCAGACTCTCAAAGGCCATAGCGGTTGGGTTAACTCAGTGGCCTTTTCACACGACTCAAATCTACTAGCGCTAGCCTCGGGCGATGCGCCGGACAACGAGGCTGTTAAGCTTTGGAGCAACAACATTGTTAAGATCTGGAACACGGCCACAGGCACGCTGCAGGAGATGCTTGACGGCCATATTGATTATGTCTTCTCAGTAGTCTTCTCCCACGACTCAAAGCTGCTGGCATCGGCATCATCTGACAAGACCATAAGAATCTGGGACGCAACCACCGGCATGCTGCAGCAAACTATCGCAGTTAGCGGATACATCTCTAGTTTATTATTTGATATTGCAGACTCTAGCCTTATTACCAACATCGGCCGTATCAAATTAGGTAAACCAAAACTCGTTTCTGTGTCCGAATCTTCCCAAGAGGGCGGCAGGAAAAGCAATCGCAAAGGATTAGCTATTAGCGGGTCTTGGATTACGTGGAACGCACAAAACTTACTCTGGTTACCACCTGACTACCGGCCTATACATTCCGGTGCTTCATTACTGAGGGAGTCAAGACTCGCTATCGGCTGCAAATCTGGGAAGGTTGTTACTATCGGGTTCTCATTAGCTATCTTAAACAGCTCTTACTCTTAATGAAGTTTATTTATTACAATAAATTTAAATTTTACTTTGATGAACATAATCGCTTTTATTTTATTCTACTAAGCTGGATGAGAGGACGTATGGCGAAGGCTATGCCTATATACTTTGCTGCACTGAGGCGCAGCATATAAAACAAACCCCCCCACTGTCGAACTGGAACGAAGAGCGGAGTTGCGATATGTCCCAAATATAAGTGAAAGGATAAGCCTTGTAAGACTCTGTATCACCATTAGCTTACTGAAAAAGCGAATGCCATCTTCATGATCTAATTTTAACTTTACTTGTCTGCGAAATCTGCACCCTTGCGCCGATGTTGGGCGATCAGCCCATCCTTAGCTGCTTTATTACGTGTAATAGATTAAGGTCAAATTTACAACTGGATATAATAGTACTAATTCTTGCGGAAATGCAGGTTAAATTAAAATCACCTGAGTTTTTTTTGGCGTGAAACAGATTTCGCTTCATGGTGCAGTTCTCGCATGACTTTGGAGCGGTTGCAAGACACATTTAGGGGTGGGCGTGGTTGATTGAGTACATACTCTGCGTCTAATCATATTTGGCTAGATTTGCCTGATGGCCCTAGTCAAGAGTTAGGTGGATGTTTTTGGAGCTGTATACTAAGGGGAAGCCGGTTTGCAAGCGACTGTATTCCCCTTCAGTTCCGCTCTTTTTTTTAAGTCGGCCTTTAGATGCCCCACCGGATATTCCACTGTCTAACTCATAATTAACACAATCCTATTAACATCTTAGACAGACTCACAATTTCTTCCATTAACGGTGGAAATCAGGGCCTGCTAACAGATCTATATCACCCATCCTAGTAGATAATTAAAGCCACATCTGCGCTATATAGCTTCCTATACTCATATGTCTTGTTAATCCATGAGCTTTTCCTTCTAGATGCATTTTAGGTTTGTCGCTTCTGTATTTCACCTATTAATTAATAGAGTATTTCAACAGCTGATGCTTTGATGATGTGTCTTATAATTATAAGAATTGTAGGATAGATTTTAATATAGTTGAACTGTTGCTGGCACTTAGTGGCTGCAGTAGTCTGCCTTTAGAAGGCTATATTAGTATTAGAATAGTCTGGTATGTAGGGAATCAATTTTCGGCGGCCGTGGCATACATTAGGGAGGGGCCTAGCTAGTAAGCATCAAATTGCACATACGACATTACCGTTGCTTGCAAAACCAGCTTATCCAGTAGTTATGCTTATTCACCATTAATGAACTGTGAACAGACGGAGAGCGCAGAATTCCGGCCGGTTCTCAACATCTGTAGTATCAAAGTCGCCGCCCCAAGCCCTTATCCTCTACATTAGTATCAATATTTGTCGGAATAGTATCGGAGTCGGTGCTATCATCGTTATCCTCGGAGTCTGACACATCGCTGCTAGACAAGCTTCGTGAGAGCTAGCGACGCCGCATATCAAATTATTCAGGGGAGACGACGGCAACGACGGTCTTGGTGTTAAAGAGAAAGTAGGAGACGTTGGAAGGGGGACGACGCCAATGACGGTCTTGGTGTTAGAAGAGAAGTAGGAGATCTTAGAAGAAGCCTGCTCTAAAGGAACTGTATCGTGGAAGAGGAATGGGACAGGAGCGAGCGAGGAGGGTAATGAGTATGGTAGGAAGGAAAGGTAGGGTAGACATAAGGAAAGCCATCTTTAACTTAGTCACAAGGGGCTGGAGGGCACCTATATTCTGAGGGCTAAAACGGCTGCTTAAAGCTCGCTCTGGTTTTGGTGTTCCTGCGTTAGCCAGCTACGTCTGGCTAGGTCTTGCCGTTTTGCTATTAGGTAGGTACCCGAGCGTTAAAGCAGTGTGAGATTTTGACAACTTGGCTGCACAAAGCAGCGCCTAAACCAGCCGGAAACAGCAACTAGTTTGCCGCTAGGTAGTTATAATGAGCTTAATTAAGTAAATAAATAAAAACTATAGTGCTATAAAAACTAAAGACTTATCTATTTCCAAAGGTCTAAATTACATGTTTACATAAAGGTAGTATTCTTTTCTATAACGTAGGTCATGGCCATACCGGGACTATGGCCATACCGGGAATCCGGCAACCACCACCAAATAGAGGGTCACGTGACCTAAATGAAAACCTTAATAACTTTTTAATTAGTAGATGTATAGCCTAGCCCTCTTATATTAACGATATTTATATAGTTATCTAATATATATGAAAACGTTAGTAGTACTAGTTGTGTTTTATAAGAGATATTAAGGTTTAAACTTTTACTATACAAAATATTTATATGGCAAAACTTAAACTATAAATAACTCCTTTCTAAGGCTAGCTTACACTTTAAAACATTTAGCTATAGTATATATGTAGATAAAGACTAAGAACATAAGAGGATTAAGTTTTATAGGCACTATTGTAAAAGTTATTACAGTTTTCATTTAGGTCACGTGACCCTCTATTTTAGTGGTGGTTGCCGGATTCCCGGTATGGCCATAGTCCCGGTATGGCCACGACCTACGTTATATGTTCTATTTACTATAACGTAGGTCATGGCGTAATGGCTACCATAACGTAATGGCTGTAGTTGCCATTGCAAGCTAATTTGTATTATGTGATCTACATTTCAACCTTTAATAACTTTTTAACTAAGTTTGTTAAAGTTTAATGCTTTTGTACTTAGAGACTTAATATACACATACATTATACTTAAAAATATTAACTTATAAGCTAGTCTAATAAGGAAGTTATTAGCCATTTTAGATTTACTATATATAAAAAAATGTATAGCAAAATCTAAAACCTTAATGAACTTATTTAACAATACGCTAGAGCTACTAGTGTCTTTATTTATAGTAGATGATTATATAGAGTTTTTATATATAAGAGGGCTAAACCTTACAATTTTTATTAATGGAGTAGTTAAGGTTCTAAATTCTGTAATTGTAAGTACCTTTACATACACGTTTAGCTGTAAAGATACATTGCAGCCATTACGCCATTGTAGCCAGTACGCCATGACTTACGTTATGTTTTCTATTTACTTTATGTTCTAAGTTATTATGTGTGTTCTATTTACATTATGTTCTAAGTTACTACGTGTGTTCTATTTATATTACGTTCTAAGTTATTACATAAGTATTTATTTAAAAATGACCATTTTAATTTAAACTGTTCTAGCTCTCTCTCTTTAATTATTCTGGCTCTTTCCTTAATAGGAATAATATCACATGGCTAAGCTTAACAGCTATGTGCATTAACGTAAGTCGTGGCCATACCGGCTTAATGGCCATACCGGCTCAATTGCTGACCCCACCAAAATCTACAACAGAACCACCAAACCATTAACTTAGGAAATTGTAAATAATTTAATTACTACTACCCTAATTCATCTATATCATCATTAGAAGGCTCTTCTTCACTCTCTTCATCTATTTCCTTAATTATAGCTTCGTTTATAGGTCGTGGCGTTATTCTAGGCCTCTGTGAAGCTGTTGCTGTTGCTGCTTCTGCTTCTACAACTTGCAACTGTAACTCCTCTGTAGAGATGTGAAATTGACCCTTTAAAACAACTCTTTTACCCTTATTCTGTACTCTGCGCTTCTAGATAATTGAGCGTAAGTTATCACACTCTCTTTTTTGAAGGGTGTTGCGTGTATTAAGGCGTTCTGACTCATCTGCTAACTTATTAATATATCGCTTTGTAGGAGTATTCAAAACACTCTAACTTATTGTAGAAGAGAGCATAGAGTTCGCTTTTTAAAGAGTATTAAAATTAGGTGGACTACTGTTTAAGAATACCTTCTTAAAAATATCATGCTCTATAGGAGTATGTGGCCGTTCTA